TGGGACCCAGACACTGCGCGCGGAGGATGGGGCAAAGAGCCCGCTGATCCGGAAGAAGGCGCACTCTGGGGTTCCGCAACTGGAGCATGGGGAACCGGCACGACCACCACCGGAGGATGGGGAGACAACGAGCCTTCCGAAGGGGAGCTCACGCAAGAGGAATTAAAGGAAGCTGAACAAGAAATGCAAGCTGAGCGCGGCAACGCATCACCTCGAAGCGCCATTCCCCTCGGTCAACCCCCACGCACTAGCAAACCACCTCGCTCACCCTATCACTGGCGTGATCCCCGGTCGGAGATTGAGGAGGGGAATATACCGCCAACACCTCCGCGAGACTCACTTGGTCCAATCTCCCGCCCAGATCCGTACGCCCGCTTCATCGAAGGCACCACGACCCCTCTCACGATCATTCCCGATCGCGAATTTCTCGCCCTGTATCTCTCAACGGCACCTGCAGAAGGAGACGCAACAGCAGAAGCAGAAGCAGAGGAGGCGAACAACGAAGCAGAACCAGGAGAAGCGGAAGAACCCCCGCTCCATATTCCAGAACTCACAGTGGAGGAGGCAGCAGAATACCACACCCGCTACAAACGCACTTCCGGCATCCGTGCCGAAGATGACCTCTGGCACCAGCGAATGGGACACCCCTCGCGCCAGACACTCGCCAATTTCCTCCGTGCAAAATTCTTTCCGCTAGGAGCACTGCTGCGCCCCGACGGAACGGAGTTACAACACACCACCCCCCACCCATCCACCTGCACAGTTTGCCCCACAGCCGCACTCTCTCACGCTGCCTATCCCTCTCTGGAGCCAAGCACCAACCGCTACAAGAAACTAGAGAAGGTGTACAGCGATTTCATCGTACTCACCTGCGACGGACTCAACGGCGAAAAGTACACGCTGACCTTCATCGGTGCCTACTCACGCCACGTGTGGGTTGTCAATGTTGACACCCGCTCCAAAGCACCGGAGGTGTTCCGTGTCTTCCTCGCGCACGCGCAGCGACAGTCCGGAAGGAAACTGAAGATCTGGCAGAGTGATGGGGCAAAAGAATTTCGCAGCCATGAACTGGAGAGCGTGCTCACTGAGAAGGGGATCAAGCACGAGATTTCCCTTCCCTACGCTCACCAGCAGCAAGGCGTTGCTGAGCGGGTTAATCGAACCCTCATGACCAAAGTCCGCGCCATCATGAACCAGTCCGGCCTACCTAAGAAATTTTGGCCGTACGCCATGAATCACGCGGTGCGCCTGCACAACCTTCTCTCAACCACCGCCAACAGGGACAACCTGTCACCCCACATGAAGTGGACTGGTTCAAGGGGAGATCCCTCCATGCTGAGGGTTTGGGGGTGCATGGTACAATATCGGCCCACTTCAGCCACAATCGGCAAGTTCGTTCATCGTGCACGCTGGGGAGTTCATCTCGGACTCAGTCACGAACATAAAGGATGGCTCATCCTTGACATGGACAACCAGGAAATTGTCCCTGCGCGTGACATTCTCTTCTACAAACGACTCACCTTGACGCAGTGGATCGAGGACCAACGCCGTAACCAGGCTCGCAGCTACGCCAACAGCGGACGCAGCTTCGCAACCCCCGAAGATGAAGCAGTAGCAGCAGTTCTGGACCATAACGACACCGACGAACATCCCAACATACCCCCTCGCCCGCGCAACGACGATGACAGCGATGCAGACCCCGCGCCAGGACCATCACGACGCCAGACAGAACCAAGCACCGCCGCACCCGGCTACGAGAGCGGAGATGACGACGTGATTGAAGTCCCCACCACTGAAGACACTACCAACGTGTCAGGTCTCCAACTTCTTGGCCTGCACACATCCGTCTCTACGCTCGCGCGGACCGTGGAACCTAAGAACCCCCGCCAGGCCCTAACCGGCCCTCACGCCAAGGAGTGGCGTGCTGCAATGGATGCGGAACTAAAAGCACTAGAATCGCGCGACACTTGGGTCCTCGTCGATCGTGCAGCAGTGAAGGGGAGGAGGGTGCTCAGCGGAAAATGGGTCTTCCGTCTTAAAACTAACCCTGACGGTACCATTGAGGGCTTCAAAGCACGATGGGTCGTATGCGGGTACGACCAGCGTCACGGCATAGACTTCGACCAAACCTTCGCTCCCGTCAGCCGCCACACCTCAGTCCGGATTCTACTCGCTATTGCTGCCGCGAAGCACCTACCACTGCGACAGATCGACGTGAAGAACGCGTTTCTATACGCATTGGTGGATGCCACCATCTTTGTGGAACAGCCGCACACCTACGGAGAAGGTGACCCCAGGGTCTGCCAACTGAAGAAGTCACTCTACCGAATCAAACAGGCGCCACGACTCTGGCAGCAACACCTGCACAAGATCCTCCTCGAAATCGGCTTCAAACAACTCCCACACGACCCGGGAATGTATCGCCTCCACTTCAGCGGCGATTACATCCTCCTGACAGTCTACGTCGACGACCTGTTGTACACAGGGACCTGCAACAAACTCCTTGACCAGTTTCAGGAGAACCTGGCGCAACGCGTGGATATCACCATTAACCTTGAAGTAAAGCAGTTTTTGGGGTTAAACATCACTTACGCGCCAGAGGCAATTCATCTGTCAGCCTCCAAGTACGCAGAGCAGCTGGGGGAACGCTTCAACATTTCACCCGCACCACTCTCAACCCCCTACCGCAGCCCGAGCACCACCTACAAACCGGACAACAAACCTCTGTCGCCCGCAGGACTCCAAATGTACCAGCAGAAGTTGAGGTGCCTGCTGTTCGCCTCTGTCACCTGCCGACCCGACCTTGCCTACATTGCTAGCCAACTGGCGCAGTACTCTCGCAAGCCAGTAACTGAGAATCAGCTGGACCTGGAGCGCGCCCTACAGTACTTTATCTCCACACCTGACATCGGACTCTCCTACTCCAGGCTGACGACAACCTCCTTCAACCTCAACGGCTACGTGGATGCAGACCACGCAGCTGATCCTGCAAATCGACGGTCCCGAACCGGCTTCGTTTTTCGCCTGGAACCAACTGGACCAATCTCCGGGAACTCCCAGAAGCAGGAGCTGGTTGCCCTGACATCAGCTGAAGCAGAATATATCGCCGCGACAGTAGCAGTCCGCGAAGGTCTGTACCTGCAGGAGCTGCTGCAGGAGGCGAAAATTCCAACCTCGCCTACCTTTCGTCTCCACTGCGAGAACCAGAGCGCCATCAAAATCGCGAACAAGCTAGGATTCGTGAACCGCACGAAGCACATCGCGCTTCGATATTTTTTCGTCAAATACGAAATCGACCAAGGCAAAGTGGACCTCGCTTACTGCCCAACCACCGAGATGGCAGCAGATTTCCTCACCAAGCGCCTACCACGTCAGCAGTACAAGCACTGCTCTGACCTCACCGGAGTAGTCAAACGAGTCAACTCCACCCGCACTCAGGAATCAAGGGGAGTGTTACAATGTGAAGTTTTATGAGAAGGCATTCCCGTATGCTGCAGGAGCCGACTCTACCGAGTACGAAGTTGAGGAGTCAGAAAGAGCCGAAGCGACACAGCAACCGTCAGACCAAGACCGATGCAAACAGTTAAAATGAAAAGAGCGGGAACAGGTTATGAACGGGTTCCCGCGACGCACGGTTTTCTCTTTGAATTCAGTCACAATAAGGGAATGTACCCCTTAGAGTACATGGCTAGCCTAGGACCTTTCGTATTCCCTTGTACTCTTATATAAACCCGATGTATGCATGTTATTATCACCTCAGTCATTTACATTCACTCTGACCTGAGGTCTAAACTTCCGCTGCAATACCACTCTGCGATCAACCCTGAGCGATCCTTTGCTAAGTCCCACTTGGGATTGTACCGTAACAAGTAGTAGAGGTGGATGGCTGCCCTTGGAACTCCGGGTTCTTTTCTTCCATTCGCGAGAAGGTTGCGAGACCCCTTCCTCTGATAGTCTACAGTCGTTGCTTGCTACCCTACTTAAACGTTTAACCGAGAGTATTTACCCCAGGGTGTGTGCTTAAGGGGTGTGAAATTATCGAGAATAAGGTGTACCCTAAACAATTACATGTACGGTACGGTGTGGCAACATTTGCTCTAAACCTACAGTACATGAAGAAACCACACCTGCAGGGAAAAAGAAAGGGAAGGAAAAGGGACACAAACACACGTGCATGAACTTATCCGAATGTTCCAAGAAAGAAACAGAAAGGCTGGATATTGAATTCATCTCAATATCTTTTTTTTTTTTTTTTTTCCTGTTATCTCACCTCAATCAAACTCAGCAGCTCTGGACCAGAACATCTTTGCTGATAAGCGAAGGAACCGATGCTCACTTCAGCTGCGGCAAGGAACTGTCATCTCCAGAATCACCGTCCTCATATATACCAAAGTCAACGTTGTCGTCGTCGTCGTCGTCGTCGGCATCAATGTCAACGAAATTCCGCCCACTGAATTGACCTGGAGCTGGCAATTGCCGAGACGGCATCACTTTAATCACCTGCCCTTGCTTCTGCACCTGCTTGCTCGATCTCAACACAGAAACCAGCTTATTAGAAGATGACGCTGCCGGTGCTGCTCCTGGCCCTGCTTGAGGACCCAAGTCAGGTACAGATCCGGACCTGACCACCGGCCTGGCCCCGGGCCTGTCTCCAGCTCTGGGGGTACCAGCTGTCATACTACCTGTTAACCTAGCTTCTCTCAATTTTTTCCCTGCACGGCGGCCTATCGGGACATGAGGGAGTGCGTGGGGAGTAGTGCTTCCAAAACTGCTGCCGCCAATGGCAATGCCATCTGCTGCTGGCTGGTCTTCAGAGGCCATGTCAGAGAGAGAGGTGGCGGAGGCAGACGCGGTGATTCCAGAGGCAGAGGCGGTGATAGCAGGGGCAGATGCACGTGCGTGGCGCTCCTTGCTCCACTCTTGACCCTGTGGGGGGAGGTGATGGGGTTGAACAGGGGATCTCAGGATTTGAGTCGACAGGGAGCGATTCTTGGGTCGACTTAAGGAAGAGGAGGTGAGAGCAGAGGCAGCAGAGCTTGCATGGTGTTCCTTGCTCCACTCAAAGAAGGACAGGAAGGACAGGAGGGATGCTGCAAGTGAAGAGGTTGGGGGCTTTTGTGGGCGTTGAGAATCTGCTTGGGGCGTAAAAAAAAAGAAAGCACACAGAAAAAAAACAAACCCAACGATGAAGGGAGTGAACGAGGCACATTCTGGAAGCGATCGACGGCGTTGCCCACTCGCTTACGCAGAGAGATCACTGCAACAAAGGTCGGTCGGTCTACGCCGCCACCAACTGACCGAGTGTGCTGCTGAGGTGTTCAAATTGAATGAGAACAAACAGAAACTATTGGGGTAGAGGGTGAGGGAGGTACCTTTTGAAAGCGGTCGACGAGGTTGCCGACTCGCTTATGCAGGGAAGCCACTGCTACGAAGCTCGCTGCCACCTTCATTCCGGGCCTGCTTGACTGCCGCTGCGCTTTCTTAGACTTCTCAAAGCCCGCTGCCTCCTTGACATCGGACCTGCTGGCCTGCCCCTGTGCTGCACCCTGCTCAGCAGCAGCAGCAGATGGTACTGTTGTTGCATGTGCTATTGGTGATGCTGGTGTTGCTTCTGCCTCTTCTGCCGCTGATTCTGGGGATATTGGTGATGCTGCTGCAATTGCCGATGCTCCCCGTGTTAATGGTGATACTGGTGACAGTGCTGTTGCTGCTGCTGATCCCATCGCTATCGCTGCTGTTGCTGCTGCGCCTTCAACCCCTGCTTCAACACCCTCTGCCCGAGCACGCCCCTTGGGTGTTGCCGGCATCACGAGTTTTACCCCCTTCCCACCACCCCCACCATTTCCGTCATCAGCATGGTCACCCTTCAGATGGGCAGAGTATAAGTTATCCCCATCATCGTCTTCAATTTCATCTTCATCCTCATCCTCCTCTTCATCTCCAAGCTCCTCTATAAGATCTAGCGAGTCAAGCTTGAAGGACGCAGCAGGAGCAAGCGCCACGTGTGCAGGCTGATTTTCAGGCTGATCCGCAGGCTGATTCGCTGGCTGATTTGCTGGAACGAATTCCACCATGTCGGTGCTGTATGACTTGGCTTGCTGCCGTGACAGCTCCCTACAACAGCACACAGAGGGGGGAAAGCAGCACACAGAGGGGGGAAAGCAGCACACAGAGGGGGGAAAGCAGCACACAGAGGGTTTGAAGCAGAGTGTGAGAGCAATTTGAGCTGCCTAACAACTAAAATTGGCTTGTTGACGTGACAGCTCCCTACAACAGGACACAGAGGGGCCAAAGCAGAGTGCGGAAAACAAGTCTGAATCACCCAGAGGGGCATGCAAGGACATCAGTTTCCCACCCCCATCCCCATCCGCACTCGCACCTCCACCTCCACCGCCATCCCCGACCCCAACCCCAACCCCACCCCTTGCTCACTTAGCCACCATGGCACCGCGGAACACCAGCAGGTCCACATAGAGCAGACAGCACGCGACCGACACCACTCCCACTCCCTCCCACTCCAATCCCCATCCCCAACCCTTACCCCCACCCCTTGCTCACCTCGCAACCATGGCGCCGCGGAACACCAGCAGTCCGACATACAGCAGGCAGCACGCGAGGGACACCACGGCATACCCCACAAACAGCCCCCAGAAGTTCTCATTGGCCAGCACCGCGGGTGCCTCGGGCATGAGTGTGTCGGGACATAGCCTGGTGCCTCCCAGCAGGTAGTCCTGCTGCAGCTGGTCCAGCTCGCCTGTCATGGTCAGGTGGAGAATCGCCGCTGAGATGTCTCTGCGCAGCTGGGATCCCTTCTGGAACGCCTGGGAGGGGGGGAATGGTGGATGCAGGGAGGGGGGGTTTGGTGGGGAGGGGACGAGGGAGGAGGAGGGGTTTGGTAAGGGTCCTCGTCCACCACCACCCTTGCCCTCCCAGATGCCACTCCCACAAGCCTTCGTCACACTCTCGCTCTCACACACTCATTCTCACTCACTCTCATACTCTCTGGCTCATTCACTCTCTCACACACTTGCACATGCCATGCTGCAGAAGGAGTAGGGCTGTTTGACTTGCACCATGCTGCAGTGATTCGCTCTCAGCAGCCCCAAATACGGATCTTCATCCACCACCACCCGCACATTCACACACTCACTCACCTACACTCCCACTCCCTTTCACTCAAACACTCTCAGGCACCCTCAATCCCACAATCTCACTCACGAATGACATGCTGAGGAAGGAGTAAGGTTGTCTGACTTGCGCCATGCTGCAGTGGTTTGCTCGCAGCAGGTCCAAATACGGATCCTCATCCACCACCACCTTCACCCTCCCAGTCACCAGCGCACTGTTATACTCCTCTGCACTGTTGAGCGGTACCATGTTGTGCTGTAAGGAGTACAGATACAGGGAGGGGGCGTGGAACAGAAGGGCAGGCAAGTAAGCAATTGAGGCACCTAAGAAGTGCTCCTCTGTGATGCTAAACGGTACCAGGATGTGCTATAAAGGATACAGAGCGGAGGCGTGGGAGAGAGAAGAGAGGAGGGACATGAGCCACCTTACCTTAAGCACGCCCAGCTGCGTGAGATAGCCTTCAAGGAAGGAGCCTGCCTAGTGAGCGATGGGGTTGTTTTGAGTGCCGTTTGAGGCGATGAACGACTTGAAGATGCCTTTTTACCCTTGCCTGTGGTTGTCCACCCTACACTGTACCCATTGGCAGCAGTGGATAGCCCTTGCCCTTCGTACCTTCTGCACGCCCAGCTGCGTGAGATAGCCTTCGATGAATGAGCCCGCCTGGTAAGCAATCGGGTTGTTGGCATTGATCACACTGTTGACGTCCAGCGAGGGCACTGTGAGCATGTTGACCGTGATTATAGACGTCATGTTGGCTGTGAACGACGTGACTACAACGAAGGTCACCAGCAGCCAGAGCGCCAGCACGATCCTCGCAATCAATGTCCGCACCGGCTTCTCTGGGAGACGGAACAACAATAGGGGGAAAAAGGGGTGTGCGTTTGAGACGGGAGATGAGCATGAGAAGGTTTACAGCAGGAGATGGGAGAGTTACGGCAGGAGATGGGAGAGGTACGGCAGGAGATGGGAGAGTTACGGCAGGAGATGGTAGAGGTACGGCAGGAGATGGGAGAGGTACGGCAGGAGATGGGAGAGGTACGGCAGGAGTTGGGAGAGTTACGGCAGGAGATGGGAGAGGTACGGCAGGAGATGGGAGAGGTACGGCAGGAGCCCGATATGAAGTTATCACAAGACTTGAGTGTAGCTGGAGCGGACAGAGTGAGGGTGCGAGTGAGGGTGAGGTGAGAGTGAGGGTGGGAGTGAGGGTGGCGGAGAGGAGGGACGAGTTGGAGCAATAGAGGTCGTACAAAGGAAGGAGAAGATAGAGAGGAATATTAAGATCACGCTTGAAATTTCTCAAAAGTGGAGCAATAAAATGGAGGTCGTACGTACCGAGAAAGGAGAAGATAGAGAGGTAGCCAAACCTGTGTGGGGGGGAGGGATGAGAGGGACACAACAGGAGAAACACAAGAGGGACCGATTGGCAGGGGAAACACAGAGAGGGGCGGATTGGCACAAATACTCTGGGTTCCCCTGGCGCAGCTTCCCTTGTACTCTGCGTTCTGGTCTGATTCTACTTCATGCGTCAACCCAGCATGACCAACCCACCAGAGCGCGTGCAGCAGCAGATCCTGCAGCTTCCCTTGGATTGGAACTCCCAGTTCTGGTTTGATTCTACTCATCCTACACGGGGCGCCTACCCACCCATTATTAGCCAATGAAGCAAGAAGAGAGAGCGGGGACCCACCAGAGCGCGTGCTGCAGCAACTCGTGCAGCTTCCCTTGGAACTCCCAGTTCTGGCGGCACTCGAGAAACACCGTGATGAGCCCCGTGGCGAAAGTCATGCCGAGAAATGCCGCCCACATGGAGGGCGTGAAGGGCGCGAGTGCCATCCACCAGCTGCTGGAGGGCGGCACGTACGCGATCACACTCACTGCTGATGCCTGGGAGGGATGGAGAGGGGTGGAGCGGGATTGGAGAGGGAGAAAGAGGCGTTGAACGGGGTTCAAGGTGGTTGGAGGAGAGACAAGGATGGGAGTGAAGTGAAGGGCGCGAGTGCCACCCACCAGCTGCTAGAGCGCGGCACATACGCGATCACACTCACTGCTGATGCCTGGGAGGGATGGAGAGGGATTGGGAAGGGTTAAGAAGAGTTTGGAGTGGGGTGAAGCGGGGTGGAAAGGGGTGAAGGGGAATACTAAGAATCAGTGCGTTACTTGATTTTATGTTTGGTACTAAGTGTAAGTGCTTTCCTAAGCCTTATGTTTGATAGTAAGAGTGCATGAACATGGCAGCATAAGCAATGCACCGTGTAGGGCTGTGAGAAATAAAGACGAGAGGTGAGCAACGAACCATGAAGGGCTGTGTGAAATCCACCAGCTTGCTCCGCGCCTGCGTCACTGAGATGTCGCCAATGGCCCCGTCAAACTTCTGCCACCCACATACAGATATGCAGCAAACCAGGTGTGTGTGAGCGATGAGCCGGTATGTATGTGAGCGGCGAACAGAAAGACAGTTGTGTTCATGTATACACACAAAAGTAAGACTTGGATGAACGGATCAACTAAATTGCAGCCACATAAAACCAACATGAAAGAGTTACCGCCGTTACCACTGTGCATCGCACACAAGTCTTACCACTGCCTTGAGAACCCTCAAAAGCAACACAAAAAGCAACCCTAAGCCCGCCATTACCTCATCGGCCACGGCCTGCAGCATGTCATCGTATCCCACACGAGCCTCACCGCCCCTAAACCCTCAACCTCGAAACCCTCAACCCTAAACCCGTCATTACCTCATCGGCCACGGCCTGCAGCATGTCGTCGTATCCCACCGCAGCGTCAGCACCGCCGCCGTCGTCCCCTACAAACGGCACGAGCTCATAGTCCGCCTTGTACGGCAGCTTGCTGACTGCCAGGCGGAACAACTCCACGGTGAACCCCGAGAAGGAGTATGATGCGGTCTCGTTTGTAGGTGGGGAGGCGGAAGAGGAGGTGATGTTGACGAACTGCTGGAAGCCTTTCTTGTAAGGCACGGCTAGCAGCAGCTTGCGCCGCGGAAAGGCGCCTGAGGGGGGCTGTGGGGTGAAAGGGAGGAGGGCGGAGAGTGGGGGATGGAAAGTGTGTTAGAACACAGCATATGATGTTTTAGTCCGCCTCGTACGGCAGCTTGCTGAGCGCCAGGCGGAACAATCCCAGTGTGAACCCGGAGAACGATGGCATGTTCGATTAAAAAGGAAGTTTGGAAACTCCAAAGATAATTGTAGAAAGGCAGAGCACAGGTAGAAGGGTGTGAAGGAGGAGGGGTAGGAGGGAAGGGAAGGAGGGAGGGAGGGAGGGAGGGAGGGAGGGAGGGAGGGAGGGAGGGAGGGAGGGAGGGAGGGAGGGAGGGAGGGAGGGAGGGAGGGAGGGAGGGAGGGAGGGAGGGAGGGAGGGAGGGAGGGAGGGAGGGAGGGAGGGAGGGAGGGAGGGAGGGAGGGAGGGAGGGAGGGAGGGAGGGAGGGAGGGAAGGAGGCAGGGAGGGAGGGAGGGAGGGAAGGAGCGAGGGACGGAGGGAAGGAAGGATGCACCTTGGTAGTATTGCCTGGGAAGGTGATGTTAAGAATGCGTGATGTGCCGTTCATAGGGGGTAGCTGCACGCATGCACACAACACACAGCACACAGCAAACAGGGGGCATGTGATGTGACAGACAACTCAAAAGTGGTGTTCATACGGAATGTGATGTGACAGGCTGACAAGGACTTTTGAAACGCCTCAAAAGCTGCTAAGGAGTCGGACACGAGATTCGAGATGTCCCAAAGGGTGATGCAAGCTTGCACGATGTACAGCACAGAAATTCTCACACTAATAAAACATCGCTCTCGCACAAAGGGGTGTATGACAACTAGGGGCGTGCATCAAGGGAGGGGCGTGCATCAAGCGAAGGCGTGAAGAGCAGAGAGGAGGCTCAAAAGGTTTCGCCAAGGCTCACAACGCTCTCACACAAAGGGGGGCGATTTTTGAGTCGACTCAAAAATCGACTCATCACACAAGGCTCACAAAGCTCGCACACAAAGGGGGGCGTGTGTACATCGAGGGAGGGCGTAAGGAGCAGGGAGGAGGTCCAGGAGCCAACTTTCACAAATACCTTGAGATGAGGTGACTCAAATCAAAGGTCCAAATTCGATTGGTACATCTCACAAAGCTCTCACACAAAGAGGGGCGTACATCAAGGGAGGGGAGGGGCGTACATCAAGGGAGGGGAGGGGCGTACATCAAGGGAGGGGAGGGGCGTACATCAAGGGAGGGCGTGAGGAGCAGGGAGGAGGTCCAGAAGCCGACTGGCATGGCGGTGCCGTTGATCACGTTGAGAATGCGCGTCACGTTGGACTGCAGGTCGCCGTGCGAGTTGAGTGTGATCCTGTTGGTGGTGTGGGGAGGATGGGCACAGTACAGTACAGTACAGTACAGTACAGAGATTGGGACCCGGGTACAGGGCGCTCATTGGGGGGATGGTTGAGAGAAACCGACAGGCACGGCGGTGCCGATGTGCACGTTGAGGATGCGCGCCACGTTGGACTGCAGGTCGCCGTGCACGTTGAGTGTGATCCTGGGGAGGATAGGGATTGAGAGGGAGGGTGGGGTAAGGAATCGCAGAGCAGGGTTGCGCTGCGCACGTGTTGAGGATACCTCATTTGACTCCGTTTGACTGCGGGACACTTCCATTTCAGACAGCAGTTTCACCCCTTTGTTGCTTTGCAACGCTGTATCAAAATCTGGTGCTATTCCGGTATATGAGCTGGGGTTGGATCCTCACTCACCTGCCCCTGACTCCGTCGAAAGTGGCTGACAGCATGGCTTGGCGAAGCATGGGGCCCACTGCACACGTGAACGAGCAGGGAGAGAGGAGTTGCCAAAAGAGGGGAAGGTAAAGAGAGAAACAGAAAGGGGGAAAGGTGACGAAGAAGGGAAATACAAACGTTCTCAAACATAACTCTCTGACCCAGTTCAGAAGGTGGCTCAAGTCGAGTGGTCAGGCCATTGACCTTCCGAAGCTGACCTTGTAAAGTTGACCTCGTGCGAGCACGACTCGAGCTCCTCCTCTAAGTGCGACCACCTCACCCTTGTTTTCTTTCTTCTCACCTGATTTGAAAACAAACTTGTGAGGTGTATTTTGAGGCACCTCAAAATACACCTCGCTCGAGCACCCCTAACTGCGACCACCTCACCCTTGTTTTCTTTCTTCTCACCTGATTTGAAAACTACCTTGTCAGTTAGCAATCTCACTCACCTAAGCTCCGTTTGAGCCCACGCAGCTGCGGAGCATGCTTCCTGCTGACCGCGTTCCTGTAGTCCGTTTGCAGAGTAGGAGAAGAAGTCAAAGCAGTGCCACTATTGCAACCGGAAGCATCAGAGCCTTGAGCGGCAGCAGCAGCAGCAGCACCAGCAGCAGTGGCAGCGGCGGCAGCAGCAGCAGCAGCACCAGCAGCAGTGGCGGCGGCGGCAGCAGCAGCACGGGTCGTTCCCGGCCAGAGGGGTGAGGATATGGGAGGTGGGGGTGCATGGGGCGGGAGTGGGTGAGAAGGGGGTGATACCGGTGGGTGTGGGTGACGTATGGGCGAATGAGGAGAGTGAGAAGGGGGTGAAAGAGGCGGGTGTGGGCGATTTATGTGTGAGTAAGAAGGGGATGAAGGGTCAGCATTGCACTGTGTGAGGCTGCCGCTGCTGCTTCTGCTGCTGCTGCTGCTGCTGCTGCTGCTGCTGCTGGTGCTGCCAGTGGTGGCGGTGCTGTGATTGACATAGAGCAGGGAGTGCAGCCCCCAGGCTATGAGGTACGTGGCGTCGTATGCTGCTAGTGTGTACGACTTGGGCTCCTGGAGGAGAGGGAAAGGAGGGAGATGAGAGAGGAGGGGAAGGAACGGGAGGAGGGCAAGGATGGGCATAGAGGGAGGCAAGAGGCGTCGTATGCTGCTATCGTGTACGACTTGGGCTCCTGGAGGGGAAGGAGGCGTGAGGAGGGAGATGAGGGAGAGGAGGGGAAGGAAAGAAAGGCAGCGTGAAGCTGAGAGAGGTCGCTTTCCCTACTGGAAGCCCCCAGTGCTGCCATAGATCAGGGAGGAGAGATGGCGGGGTATGAGGTGTAACAGGCCGCCAGGGAGCGGGACTGACTGACCGACTGACAGGTTGACTGACAGGTTGACTGACTGACTGACTGACTGACTGACTGACTGACTGACTGACTGACTGACTGACTGACTGACTGACTAAGGGGCCCTCGAAATAAGTTCCACAGTTCCACTCTCTGCTTGAAAAGATGTCGAGACGAACTCACCTCCTTGCTAGCGTTGGGGAAGCGGATGGGGTTCAGGTTGGCCCAATTCTCCCGAAACGAGGTGAGGCGCGGTGATGGAGGCAGGTAGGTTGAGGTTATCACCATGCCCTGGTGGTGGCACGGGTGTTAGGGGGAGAGGTGTGTGTGTGGGTTGAGAGGGGTATGAGAAGAATGAGAGTGGTACAAGTGAGACGCGGAGATGGAGGGAGGTAGGTCGATGTGATAACCCTGCCCTGGTGGTGGCATGGGTGTGAGGGGAGTGAGAGGGTGTGGGAGGAGTTAGCGGGTGTGAGGGGGGTGAGAGAGGGTGTGAGGGATATGAGACGAGACGAGTGAGAGGGGTATGAGATGAGTGAGAGGTATGTGAGGGGAGTGAGTGAGATGAGATGCGAGGAGGGTGAGAGGGACACGAGAATCCATCTCGCCTCTACGTTCTGCAGCCACCTCTAACCAGACCGCCCTACCCCAGGCGCCCCTACCCCAGGCGCCCCTACCCCAGGCGCCCCTACCCCAGGCGCCCCTACCCCAGGCGCCCCTACCCCAGGCGCCCCTACCCTAGGCGCCCCTACCCCAGGCGCCCCTACCCCAGGCGCCCCTACCCCAGGCGCCCCTACCCCAGGCGCTCCTACCCCAGGCGCCCCTACCCCAGGCGCCCCTACCCCAGGCGCCACCGCACCTTGACGTTCTGCAGCACGGTGGAGTTGACCAGCGCCGCCCCCTCCAATGCCCGTTTGACTCGACACACCTCAGTGCTGTGCAGGCCCCATCCCACTGCCCCAGGCCCCACAGACTCGCAGAGATCCACCAGCAACCCATCTCACCTCGACGTTCTGCAGCACGGTGGAGTTGACCAGCGCCGCCCCCTCCGATGCCACCCACACCGAGTTCTTCCCTACCAGCTGCATCTGATTCGCTGCATGCATGCGATGTGACAGGCGGGGACCGTGGCAGGAGGGGGGAATGTGGAAGGAGGAAGGAACAAACGAAGGTGACATGTCACGTCATTATGATATGAGCGCTGCCCCCACTTCAGATGCCACCCACACCAAGTTCTTCCCCACCAGCTGCATTTGATTCGCTGCATGCATGCGATGTGACAGGCGGGGAAGGTGTGGCAGGAGGAAGGAAGGGATGTGTCCTATCGTTGGAGCGGGTCAGTCAGCCCTAAGATAACCACAGACTGAAATCGCTTTTGAGAATTGTCAAAAAGTCACTTCTATGATAACCATAGACTGAATTACAGAATAGCCGTAGCCGAAGTTTGAGCAGTCTCAAAAGTTCTAGGCAGGCGTACCAGCAGAGAAGATGACAGCGCAGAGGGCAGCAGCGGCATGCACCACAAAGACCGCCGGATCCAGCCGCTCCACTGCTGCCAGCGCTGCTGCGGTATCCGCCACCGACCACGTCGTCTTGATCGGCACACGTGTCGCGATCCTGACCTTCCATTGCTGAGAGAGCCAAGGTTGGGGAGAAACAAGAGCAGAAGCAGCGGAGTGAGAGGCGTGTCGAACAACCATAGCGTGTACTCAATGCAGGCAGATTCGTTAGAATTGTAGAGAAGTACCGCCTACAGAGAGTCGGCACATAAAAGTGCCGGGTGGGATGAGGGCACACACACACGCGTGCACCTCCTGTATGGAGAGAGATAGGCGCTGAGGCGCGTGAGCTTCAATTTCAAGAGGGCGCACCTCCTGTACGGAGAGGTAGCCGTTGAGAGACGCGATGCCGTTGCGGCCAAAGCGGTTGTCGCTGTGAATGACGATCACCTCGCTCCACTTGTTGAACGCCAGGAACTCTGCAGAGGAAGGATGGTCATGGACAAAGGTGGGCGGATGAGGGGAAGAGAAGGGTCATGGATGGATGAGTGAAGGATGGTCATCAATTTATGGTTTACAGGCTACACCAGCCAGTAACCTCCTCCTGCCTTGCAGGGCACATCAAGATGCGATGGCACCTGTCACAATCGCACCACCGCAGAGTATGTCGCACCAACCACAATCACCACCAACGACAACCACCAGAACCGCCAAGCTGCTCACTGCTACCGTCACTTTCGTTACAGTCGCCTGCAATGGACATGTCCATGCCGTCATTGTTATGGTGCGCACAAAGTATAGCTGATCATCCCTCACCGTCAGCCGCACGCATCACCTCATCTTCTGTGCACAGCAGCACGTGCCAGAGTGTCACCATGTCTCACCTGCAATAGCGCGCATGTCCATGCCGTCGTTGTGAATGGTTCGCATGAAGTACGGCCGGTCGCCACCCGCTGTCAGCCGCACGTCCGTGGCGGACGGCGACACAAAGGGGATCTGGGCGGCAAAGAACAAGAGGAGGATGTTTGGAGGGAAAGCGGAGGGAAAAGTGACAAGACAGTGAGGGGGGCTGCTGCTGAGAAATCTCAAATGCACGTCCCGCTGTCAGCCACACGTCAGTGGCGGACGGCGACACAAAGGGGATAGGGGCGGGGCAGATAGAGCAAGGACGGAGGTTGGGATGAAAGAAGAGAGGTTAGGACGAACGTGACACGTCATTATGGGCGCCGAGCTTCTTCGATGCCATGCCACCCACACACACACACGACACACACACCCACACACACACATGGCATCCGTATGTGACGCCCTTCCCGCCCTCCCCACACTTGCGCGGTTCCACCCTTCCCTCCCTGCCCACCTGCGCGAACGCCGCCAGCGGGCTGACCAGCGCGGCCTGGTCTGAGTTGCGCGGCCCCACCACCGCCACGGGCATGGGATCCATCGACGCCAGCTGGAGGGCTGCGAGAGGAGGAGGGGGAGAGAAGGGGAGAGGGGGAAGGGGGGAGAGGGGGAAGGGGGGAGAGGGGGAGGGGAGGAGTGGGGAGGGGGATTCGGGTGAGGGGTTGTTTGGGCAGAGCAGCCTGGTCTGAGTTGCGCGGCCCCACCACCCCCACGGGCATGAGATCCATTGACGCCAGCTGGAGGGCTGGAAGAAGGTGGGGAGAAAGGGTTGTATGGGCAGCGCGGCCTGGTCCGAGTTGCGTGCGGGAGAGGCGAAGGGTCCGAGTTGTGCGGTCCCACCACCGCCACGGGTAGAGAATCCATTGAGGCTAGCTGGAGCGCTGGGGGAAGCTAAGGGGGGCAATCGGAGGTTGGGGGGAACGGAGGCGGGAGATAAAGGGGGGGAGGGGAAGGGGAGTAGCGGGAGGTGGGGGGTGAAGAGGAGGGTGGGGGGGTGGATGGGGGGGCGGGGGTGGGGGGAGGAGGGGGAGGAGGGGGGGGGGGGGGGGGGGTGTGTTACAGCAGTGAGGATACAGTCTCTGGTTTGAAATGGGGAACATGGGTTACGCACCTGCCATCTGCCCTGCAACGGGCTGCGTGGTGTAGTTGAGCGGCGCGAGCAGCAGCGTGTGGTTTGGCAGCAGCGACTTGGACAGGTTGATCTCACCCACTGCTAGAGTCACGGCTGGGGGGGGTGAGGGGTTGGGGAGGGCAGCGGGGAGGACGGCGTGGGGGAGGACAGCGTGGGGGAAAGCGCAGCCTGGGGGGAAGGGTAGTGTGGGGGGAAGCGCATTGTACGAGGAAGGACTGCGTGAAGGGGAGAAGAGCGTGGGAGACAACACTACAACACTGAAGCACCATTTTCTGGACTATTCCAAAAACCCCCCCTTGGTAGTACCGGCAAGCATGTGAACGCTGTCGGGGGTGAGATCCACAGGCACGAGGCAGCCAATCGTGATCGACGGCGACACGGCTAGGTCCGACAAAACAGGTTGGGACGAAACCGAAGAAGCAGCTTCGTTCGTCGCGCGCGGCGATTGGCGCGAGGGTGCTACGACCGGGGAGACTCGTTGCGAAGGCATTTTGCCATCGAGGGGTAACAGCGTCGTTGACGCGTCGACTTGCCGGTGCTGGTAGTGCAAGGCCCCATGAAGCCTAAATTGCGGATCGACCATCGACGGCGCCGAATCCGGCGCCTCCTCCTTTACCAGGGATGCGCGCTGAGCGTCGCGCTCAAATCCCGCTGAACCGCCGTCCGCAGCGCTCCGAGAACCCTGAGAACTCCGGTAACTTTGAGAACTCTTGAAACTGCTTGACCACGGTGCGTCGCCGGCGCTCCTCTTTTCAGCACGGTCACTCCATCCTAGGGGTTCAAAGCTTATGTCTCTGCTCGCGGGATGCCTTCCTTCCACCACCGTATCCGCAACATCTGCTCCCACGGTCGTCCAAAAAACTGCACACTGGCACGTCAGCAACAGTACCAGCCACGTCATCGTGAACGCGCCGGCATTCCAGCGGGTTCCGTGAAAAAATGGGAAGATGTTTGCAGCGCGCCGAGCCCTCGAGGTCCGGATACAGCCGCAACGTCGACCCAGCAACTCAATACTATCTACACTACTACTACTACGGCTACTACTACGGCTCCTGCTGCTGCTGCTACGAGTACCGCTAAGAGAAAACCTAATCTCCGTTTTTGCACTCGGAGATTTTCGAATTCTCGGAATACGGAACATATTCTCCGTCTCGCGATTCTTGTAAACGCCGAAATCTACCAGGGAGCGAGAATCGGAACCGCGCCAAGATAAATGGTGCGATAATCGCCGCGCTGGGTATAATAACGACGATTTTGAGAATAACGGCGCTTTGGAGTATAACGACGATTCTGAATCTAACGACCAATCCTCCTCGCGGCGAGAGTGGAACTCGGGGTTCACTGGTGGATGAAGCCGCATTCGGCGGTGACTCGACGACGTGGGGAACCGCGCGTCGTCTGACGTCGTCACAGCAGACCAACCGCCATCAAAGACTCGGTCCTCATCGAAAAGTCGGTCGCCAGCCGCGACTCGATCGCCATAACCAGCGTCAACATCGTCGCGATGACGATGACCGTCGTGATGTCGCGAATAGATTGCGACCATTGCGGCATCTGCGGCGAGTCCTGCCTTCGAGAACCGCGTGTCGATTGGGGTCGACGGGGTAGTAGTAATATTGAACCCCCCACGCGTATTCTTAATTCTGCGAGAGTCTACTTTTCGACGTGGTAACGAACTGGCGGAAGAGGTGTCGTTATTGCTGTGGTCGAGAGTCCTCGTCTCTGCCATTGTCGCCGCGTTGGTAATAGGCGTGAATAAAGAAGCTCCTTCAAGTATGGTAGCGAATACAACGAGGTCGTCATTGCATCGTGAAAAGAAACTTCAATAGATAACGCGACACTTGCCTGAAGGAACTCTATGTGAGACTCGTTTGCGATTTTGTACTTGAAATGGAGTAAACAAGAAGAACACAAGGACAAAACACTTGGAGCAGAGTGAAACACAAGAAGATCACAATCACACTTGGTGCAGTGAGCCCCACACACACATCAAGACGAAGGTCACTACAGTATCGCACTTGCCGCAGTCAGCCACACTACAGACATGAAATGTCATGACATTCTCCCAGAATGCTCCACAGGGAAATGGGTAAGTAGCTTTGGCGGGGGTACTACACATGATGCTCACCCCCTGCACGCGAATTTTCCATAAACCAGAAGAAAACTCTACACCCGTGTTTTTTTCCGCAGCCAGTTGCACGCACGTTACAAGCATGACGCGTAGTTCTGCACCAATAGCAACAAAAAGACTGAAGTCAAAGTGTCAACGACTAAGTTACAACTACTATATTAGCACCGGACGAATCCTTTTTTGCTATCTGCGAATTGACGAAGCTTATGCGAAATCCAAGAACAGCTTAAGTGCTCCCTTCACTAGGCAACCGGGAGTGGCTCAACCCTGGCATCATGTGCACTAGCGACCCTGCGCTTTCCAAGGAAGTACAGTGCTGGTTACGGACACTTTCCGCCCCACTGTCCCTCCGACGGGAAAGTTATTGCAACAATACAGAACTCAGCTCCGCATACACCCATGTACACCCTAATTCTCAGTCTTCTCACCAGCGAAAGCAGTGGCTACAGTGTTTGAGCGTAGCGGGCTGGTGACATAACTGGGTTGCGGGCCAAGTCGCACGAGGCGACGAAACCAGACTTTGGCAGTAAAATTCCGTTAAAGCTGAATGACTGTCTTAACCGTTTAAAAAACAGCATTACCATTTTAGAACGTAAAAAACCTCGACTAAACGCCCTGGATCAAACTGTCAGTATAACGCATGTGATAGGACCTTCTTTGGTCCGCTGCGGCTACACTAAGCGTCCCTGTCAGTATAACATCTGCCAGTCTAACGAGAATGAGGGTGTATCACAAATTCGCAAGCTACCGGAGAGACCTGACAACCAAAAAAAAAAAAAAAACAAACTAAAACCCAATCGGAAATGGATGTGTCTCGGGGGGGCATCAACCCTAAAAAAATGCGGGCAGACCCATGTGCGCAGTTTTCGGGCAGTACTCTAGTGACCCCACATATTATGAAAGATAACTTCAGTTCCAAACCTAGGTACTGTATACTGGTGAGTATTCCCCTGATTTTTTTCGGGTCGAGCCACACCCCGAATTCTGGAACACTACACGACACGACAGCGTCCACCAACGCACACAGCATGGATATCTCTACAGTGCAAACCTGGATCTGTGAGTTGCAGCAGTACTGCGACCGTGTCAGGTTTTTCTTTTCCGAATTGAATGCACAGTGGGACCGGGCCATCGACCCAGATGGACCGGTGAGCGATTCGGGCACATACATATGTGTTGTGTGCTCTGCTGCTTCTGCTGCTGCCATCTCAACTGTGACAGGTGTGAAACAACCAGACGAGTCATTGTTTGCCACTTAGTACAGTAAAGTACTGTATCGGAATGAAAATATGGAAATCTATTGCTGAAACTTGTCCCTGTCATCATTGGATGAGTTTCATAGTTGGTTGTACACCCTGATTTTTGATATTTGAACAATCGGGAGCCCAGCTACAGTTCGAACGTGTGTTTGGATTCAGCGGGCTGGTGCGTGCAACTAAAATGCACTTCAGGAGAACGGTAGACAACGGTTTATGAAAACAAACGTGCTTTTGAGTTCGGCTTCGTGCGGCAGAATTGCTTATACGGTATGTTCTGGGACCAATTTGGACGCATTGATGTCAGTACAAACGGCTTGTCAATATGTCGAATGTAAGTGTGGCGCGAAACACAGTGTAGGTGAGGGAGTGAATGCTTTGCTGGCAGTACACGCGATGCTCGTTTGACTAATCCAATGTTGTCTTGTACAGGAGGCTTTCAAGCGGTTCTAATATTTCGCAAATTACGAAAATGTCGCATCTAGCTTGAAAGGGGTTATAGAAATTTTATAACTCTCTATTGACATTTTAACTTCAGTTTCTTCTGTTTGACTTCAGTTTCTGTGGTTCGTATCGGTTCATAACTACTGCAACTTGCTTGAGAGGACTACAATGTAGGTGCAACAGGCTGATAAACAAACACGGGTGCAGACTTTCTATTGTGGACAGAAAACATTCGCGCACAAGGGTTGAGCATCGTGTGTAACAACGTAAGACGCAGGACTGCCAAGTTCAACCTTCATCCCCGTTGAATTTCCAACTCGTCGAGTTGGAAATTCTGTTGCGGGCCTGGTCAGCACAGCACAAATCATTCAATGCAACCCAAACAAAGATGTACGGTTTGTTAGCAGCAACAGTTTTCGGAAGACTCGTTACGTGGTTCGGCACATACCCCATCAGCGACGCGATGTGAGTGGCTAGTTGGACAGATCCATTCCAAAACGAAAAGCATGGAGGTGGGTGTCGTACCACATATTTATGCTGGATTTTGCAACTGCCAATAACGCTACACCGTATGGGGCATATCTTATTACAACTAGAAAAAAAAACAAATATCAACATTCCTCTATACTGTTAGGGCGTGTCCGAATTGACATGTCGATGGATGTCGATGGATGTCGACGGATGTCAGGGTGGTAGGTGAGATTTTTCAGGCCGGCATTGTGTCCGAAGTGATCTAACATCCATCCGACATCCATCCGCCATCCAGCTCTGTGTAATTATTACAGCCAAAGGGTGCCGCCAACAGTGACCTCGGGCTGGTCAACGTGGCGATTGACGAACCAATTTATTGATAACAAAATTTGAGGGAGAACCGTGGCGAAAGTATTTCTTGGCAAGCGACAGCCCTTCGTGACTTGTACGTGGTGTGGTGACGAAACAAGTTCGCGAAATTCGTGACTCAAAATTGAACCTTCAATATTCTCTCTGGTCTGCCATTGCCGGCGCCAGCAGTGCCGGCCTGCATTTTTGGGGCAGTTATGTCGCTCGTATTGTGTCCGAAGTGCCTCGACATCCATCTGACATCCGTCCGTCGTCCCCTGTCATACGCCACCGTCATCCATTGGATGACGGATGGATGTCAGATCGATGCCGAGGGTCACTTCGGACCCGCCCTTATGATAATTATTTTTCAAGCATCACTGGGGTCGCCTGTCTTAGCCAATCTCTTTCTCGTCTTCACGTTGCATTGCATGCATGGGTATAAGATAAAACATGAATTGCTTTAAAATATCGGTCTTGCTTCCCTTTCCACTCCACACGATGGCTCGTCTTTCATGCTTGACTCCTACACAATCCGAGTGGGTATACAAAAAGATGAAAGGAGTGTGGTAGAGAATGTTGGGAACAAACAATCTTAAGCGCCTCTGTCGTGTCGAAACACCAAGACACAAGCGAAGCAGCGCATATGGAGGCACCAGCGAGTCAACCCTCGGAGGTTGATGTAACCGTTGGAGGTTACGCGAAAGTCAGAGGTCAGCGACCTTTGACCAGACAAATGCAGCGCGACAGCAAGGACACACAACCGACTCGACATTGAGCAGTTGCCCGAGTCGCACTGTATCGAACCGCAACAGTAAAAGTAGTTATAATGTCTCCTCATATTCTTTGTATTCATATATATATCTTTGTATCTCTTTGTTTTAATCAACTTACTTTGCCCTCACATACTAGCGCAAGGTGGTTCAAGTACCTTACTTAAAACGCTTCCGCTACTACATCACTTTACTCAGATTTTAACTCTACCAAAGATCCTAAAGGGCACTCAGCCCAACATGGTATGAGAGCAGGTTAGAGTTAAATCATATTCTTCTCAATACTTAATACACCAAGAGATATGTCTACTAGAAAGGAGAGGAGCTCCTCCAACGGCTCTCCTGGTACTACTCCTACTCCACCTCCTGCCTCTGGCCTACAGACAGAGGAAGGCACAACAACGAGACCGGCAGCTGGGTCTACTGAAACACCCGCAAACCAAGGCGTGGGCTTCGATCCAAGCATGATGGAAAAATTCTTCTCCTTCATGTCCTTCTACGAGCAGCATCAGCAAGGAGGACCTGTGCAATCAAAAAACAGCAACAACAACAACAACGTGACGCCCATGAGTCTCGATGGCTCATCCTACGCACGCGCGAATCAACAACAGCAACCTACCTTCGCTCCGTACGAGCCTCAGCGCGACTCCGTCAGCTTCATGCCACAACCACAACCTGCACCGGGACAAGAGAGAACGTTGGACACACTACAAGTTCAGTCGCAGTTCGCGCACGTTCTGAAACTGCAAACGACAAAACCCTTCGACGGGAAGGACTTCTTCACCTGGTCATTCGAATTTGAACTGATGATGGAAGGAGCGCAAATCCTCGGCTTCTTCGACGGGTCCCTGCCATACCCAACAAACGGCACACAGTATGAGAAGCAGCAGTACACCTATCAATCAATGATGGCGTACACGATACTGTTGAGGAACATCACTCCATCTCAACAACAAAACATTCGGTCTTACCGAGGCTACGGCAACTCCGCGGAGCTCGCGTACAATCACTTGAAGACCCTGTATCAAGCAACAGACAGCGTAAACCAAAGTCGGTTAATGGCGCAGCTAACTACCATCGAAATGAAATCGGGCGAGAAGGGAATGGCGTATATCAACCGCTG